ACCATGAATTTAATGAACCTTAAGCTTCAGGGGTTCCTTACTTGCACAAGATATTTCCTGAGTAGTAGGTATTGACAATTCAAAGAGTCGTTAGATTAGTCACTGCTCAAAAGAAAGCAAAACAAAAAATACCAACAAAAAACTTGCACTAGGATGTCCAGTGACAGATGAATGGATAAAAAGTGGCATATATCTATACACAATGGAGTATTGCATGTGTGCTAAGTCGTTTCAGTGGTGTCTGACTGTTTGTGGCCCCATGGACTGTAGCCCACCAGGCTCCTCTGTCCATGGGGATTCCAGGCAAAAATAAAAAAGTGGGTTGCCATTTCTTCCTCCAGCAATGGAATATGACACAGCCATTAAATAGAATGAAATAATGCCGTTCGCAGCAACATGAACAGATAAGAGATTATTGTGCTAAATGAAGGAAGTCAGAGAAATAGAAATGATAAGATATCACTCCTATGTGGAATCTAAAATATGATACATATGAACTTTTTATCAGTTCAGTTCAGTTCAGTCGCTCAGTCATGTCCAACTCTTTGCGACCCCATGAATTGCAGCACGCCAGGCCTCCCTGTCCATCACAAGCTCCCGGGGTTTACTCAAACTCATGCCCATCGAGTCACTGATGCCATCCAGCCATCTCATCCTCTGTCATCCCCTTCTGCTGCCCCCAATCCCTCCCAGCATCAGGGTCTTTTCCAACGAGTCAACTCTTCGCATGAGGTGGCCGAAGTATTGGAGTTTCAGCTTCAGCATCAGTCTTTCCAATGAACACCAAGGACTTATCTCCTTCAGGATGGACTGGCTGGATCTCCTTGCAGTCCAAGGGACTCTCAAGAGACTTCTCCAACACCATAGTTCAAAAGCATCATTTATGAACTTTTTATACATACATATAAAAAACAGAAATAGACCCACAGAAGTAGAAAACAAACTTATGGATACCAAAGGGAAATGGTAGAGGAAGGGACAAATTGGGAGGATATGACTAACAGAATCATAGTGCTGCTTACAGATAACCGCAGTGCGCTGGGCAGCACTGCGAATGTGTCTCTCCTTCCAGGGTGCTTGGACAGAACAGGCCCAGGGACGCCCCTTCCTCCAGCCTCCGCCCACCCTCCAACCGTTTTTCCAGTGGCAACCTTGGAACCAACCATTCAACTGTCCTCGGCCCCCGGGACCAGCCAACGCCATTTGCAGGGCTCAGCTCCTTGTCGCCGGCCACCCGTGAGCTCCCAGATTCCTGAGACTTATTCCCGCAGGCGGAGGCGCCCCGGCCGACAGGTCCACATGCCGTCTACGGCCTGCCGCCCCGACCTCTCTCTGGGCTTCTCCGACCACTAGAACCAGGCGGCTCTGGAGGGTGGGCCATCTCCCCGCGGATCGGGGGAGAAACGGGGGGAGGGAGGGGCGCCGAGCTCCATGGGACCTGCAGAACCAGCGCTGCGTCCGCGCGCTCTTCCAGGACGTCCGTCCAGGACAGGACGAGGGAGTCAGATCCCGGACGCCGTGGGGCCGCCCTGCTCGCAGAGAAGAACCCGAGCCAGGCCTTCATGGACCCACAGGCCCCGGTCCTCCCCACCCGACTCCGGCTCCATGACTGCCTGCCCCCACATCCTGGACAAGCAGGTGAAACTCATCACGACGATGGACGCCCACCTGACCAGCCTCTGCAGGCCGGCTGGTCCCAGGTGGGGATGGACGGGCTTTTCCTGCAAAGGTTCAGCCTCCAAAGCACCGCTAGGAGCCTCTGGAGCCCAGCGGCCTTTGAGGAGGCCCTCTGGTAGTAGGGCTTCTGCCTGAAACCTCTCTCTGCCACTAGGCAGTTTATATTTTTTGTTTGTTTTGTTTATTTTGGGCTGTGCTAGGTCTTCGATGCTGCTCAAGGGCTTTCTCTAGTTGCCAAGTCCGGGGCTACTCTGTGGCAAGCACAGGATCTAGAGCTCAGGCTCAGAAACTGTGTTGCAGGGGCTTAGTTGCGCCAGGGCATGTGAAATCTTCCCAGACCAGGGATCAAACTTGTGTCCCTTGTGTTGGCAGACAGACTCTGAACCACTGGACCACCAGGGAAGTCCCACTAGGCAACTTGTTAACCACTTTGGAACCCTCTCTGGAGCCTTCACTTAAAGGGAAGTAATACACGTTTTTGCAACAACAAAATTAAAAAACAGAGAGATAACCAAAAAGAACCTACTGTATATGATAGGAAACTATATTCAATATCTTGTAATAAATTATAACAGAAAAGAAGCCTAAAATATATACATCCAAAAGAGAATATATATATATATATATATATATATAGGAACCACTTCGCTGTAATGAGACTATCACAATATTGTAAATCAACTATACTTTCAGTAAAAAGGAAGAAAATTGGAACCAACCCAATGTCCACCACCAGGAGAATGAATAAAGGTAATCTGGCATCATCAGTCGGCTATCAAAACAGCATTGACAATGAATGACTAGACTACACTGCGCTATGGATGTTTACAAATATAAAAGCAATATTGAGGGGAGAAAAGTTTACACTGAATGACACCATTTATCCTAAAGGTGTTAAATGTGCAGAACAGTATCACATTGTATCATGTATGTAGCAAAATAGAAAGACATACATGCATCAGTCAGTCAGTAGGAATGGGAAACAGAAGATGCAGAATCTAGTAACCTCTCTCAGGGAAGGAAAGGAGGAAAATCGGTGGGGAGGGGTACACAGAGGGCTTAGACTGCTTCTGTAAAGTTGTACAGTCTTTGTTTATTAGTGAGAACAGGGAGCTATTTATGATTCTGGATATTTTTTGTATAGAGAAATGGTTCAAGATAAAATTAATATTAATAAAGGCTCCCTATATTCATCTATCAATAGACTCTGCTGCAGTAACAAACAACGCCAAGTTCAGTGGCTTTACACAACACATGATTATTTTAGGTGTTATATATCTAAGGAAGATGAGCATCAGGTTCTGGTCGCTGTAGACACATACTCTGGAATTTAGGCTGATGAGTTCACTTCACTTCACCCTACAAGTCCCCAAGCACAGAACAGCAGGAATGGAAAGTGATCAACAGCTGAGCTGGCTCTTACCTTGTGCTGAAGTTGACACACATCTCTTTCACTTATATTTCACTGAGCAAGGAGAATCACAAGGCCATGTCTAATTGCAAAGGAAAATTCAAACTTATCATGTTCCCAGAAGGAGGAGAAGCAGAATTTAGGAATGATCATCATGTTTAGCATCTCCTCCCCTGTTGCCAGGAGAAATATCAATAACCTCAGCTATGCAGATGACACCACCCTTATGGTAGAAAGTGAATAAGAACTAAAGAGCCTCTTGATGAAAGTGAAAGAGGAGAGTGAAAAAGTTGGCTTAAAGCTCAACATTCAGAAAACTAAGATCATGGCATCTGGTCCCATCGCTTCATGGCAAATAGATGGGGAAACAGTGGAAACAGTGAGAGACTTTATTTTCTTGGGCTCCAAAATCACTGCAGATGGTGACTGCAGCCATGAAATTAAAGATGTTTTCTCCTTGGAAGAAAATTTATGACCAACCTAGACAGCATATTAAAAAGCAGAGACATTACTTTGCAGACATCGGTCCATCTAGTCAAAGCTACTGTTTTTCCAGTAGTCACGTATGGACGTGAGTGTTGGACTATAAAGAAAATTGAGCGCCGAAGAATTGATGCTTTTGAACTGTGGTGTTGGAGAAGACTCATGAGAGTCCCTTGGACTGCAAGGAGATCCAACCAGTCCATCCTAAAGGAAATCAGTCCTGAATATTCATTGGAAGGACTGAGGCTGAAGCTGAAACTCCAATACTTCGGCCACCTGATGCAAAGAACCAACTCATTGGAAAAGACACTGATGCTGGCAAAGATTGAAGGCAGGAGGAGAAGGGGACGACAGAGGATGAGATGGTTGGATGGCATCACGACGCAATGGACATGAGTTTGAGTAAGCACCGGGAGTTGGTGATGGACAGAGAAGCCTGGCGTGCTGCAGTCCATGGGGTTGCGGAGTCAGACACGACTGAGCGACTGAACTGATGCCCCTGCTCTCCCAAGAAAACAATTTAAAGTTGCTCTAATCCAGTGCTCAGGGCTGGTGCATTGGGATGACCCAGAGGGATGGGATGGGGAGGGAGGTGGGCAGGGGGTTCAGGATGGGGAACACATGTACACCCATGGCGGATTCATGTCAATGTATGGCAAAACCACTACAATATTGTAAAGTAATTAGCCTCCAATTAAAATCAATAAATTTATATTAAAAAGTGCCCCAAAAATAATAAAATAAAAAATAAAGTTGCTCCAATCCAAATATTTTGCATATTTCTTTCTTACTGGGTTTTACAACCATCTACAGTTTTGTACGTGAGAGAAATGCAGGCACGACCCTGAGGAATGTGGTGACCTCTTCAAAGTCACACAACCAGGCCACAGAATGAATAATTGGACGCCTAAGACCTCAGCCCTGTCCTTGGTGCTGTCAAAACCCCACCATCTTTGGACTCTTTCCTCCCAAACATCATACCACCTAAGGACTTTTTCTAATAAATCCTAGTACCACCAGTGTGGCTGTTTGATGACTGTATTTCTACAAATGGACTTTAAAATCCTTACATTGGTAAACTGTCTCACTGGGTTATGGCAAGCCATGCAAAGGAGATGACCGCAAAAATGTGTAGCATGGAAACAGAACAATCATTCAATTCTGGTCAGTGTCAACTGACTGCCAGAGCCTACTCATACAGGTTAAAAAGAGAAATTCGAATTAGTTTCTCAGGCACCCAGCGCACCAGGCAGAATGGCTCCTGAGGGCACTGACAGGTGATTAGAAAGAAATTCAGCACTTTCTTCCCGGCTCCCTGGATGCCCCGCCCCGTTCTCCGGTGCGCCTGCGCCGAGGCGCTGACGCCATCCCCAGGCCACGCCCCCTCCCGAAGCGACCATGGGCCTCGGGGGCGGGGCCTGGGCAGAAGATGGCCGCCGCGCGCCCGGAACCCCCGAGTCCGAGCTCAGCGGCCCCGGAGCCGCGATCCCCGGAGCCTCCGGACCTGGTGCGGGCGAGGAAGGGGCCATGGCTGGGGACTCGAGACGGCAGGAGGTCTCAGGGCTGGGGGCGGGGCCGGGGCGGGGCTTAGGTAGGGAGCCGGGGGCGGTATTTATGGCTCCGGCTCTGGGGGCGGAGCTTCTCGGGGTGGGTGAGGGGCGGGGCTTAACTAGGAGCCAATGAGGGTGGTGGGTGGGGTCTGAGTGGGTGGGCCCTGAGGAGGGGTGGGTGGGACATCTGAGCTGTTGATGGGTTCGGAGAGTTCCCGGGGATGGAGTTTGTCTAATTAGGGGGCGGGGCCTCTGAAATTTTAGGGGTAGCGAACCTCCTAGGTTGGGAAGGTGACCCTGAAAGACAAGGGTGTCGGGTTATAACTGGGGCATCCACGCTGGGGTGGGGTATGATTCTGCAAGGATCTGAGGGATGCGTCTTGAAGCCCAGGAGAGGATTTGGGTGGAAGGAGAAATGACTGCTCCAGGTGACTTTGGACCCGTGCTCAGGATGGGAGAGTACCTGAGGACATTCATTCATTCGACAGACATTTACTGAGCTCCTACCTGGGCTAGACAGATGGAGAGGCGAACGAATACATGAACTGTATTCTTTTAGAGCGCGCAGTCGAGTAGGGGAAGAGAGACAATAAACGAGACTTAATTGTGATCTGGAAAGAAAGAGTGAGCTGAGAGAGTGGGGGGTAGGGGAGCTAAATTTAGACGAGAGCAGTCAGCTGTGTGCCGGCTTATAGTTACACTGGGGTCAGAGAGATAAGCAAGAGCTGGGTCAGGGTGGATATTAGATGACGGTTTGGGATTTTAAGTGCAATTGGAGTCATGTGACAGTTTTGAGTGGGAAAATGACTGCTGTCTGATTTCCATTTTCAAAAGGTCCTTCAGGCTGCTTTGGGGAGGTAGGTTATAAGGGAGCAGGCGTAGGAACAGAGACTTTCAGAGGGTTAGGAGACTTGGCAACAGATGATTGGCTTTTTAGTGCGGGTGGGGGAGAGAAATGGCTGGATCTGTGATGTATTTTGGGCAGGACGGGAATCCTTGATGGTCATAGGGCAGAATCCCGGAGAATGGAGAGCTGAATCTAGAAGTCGAGAGGCCCAGTAGGCTGCAGAGGGCGTTTTAATAAGTGGGCGTGTTGGGGGGGTGGTGTTGTGGCAGAGTCCACAGGCTCCTCTGTTTCTCCCCCTCCCCACTCAGGTCCTGGTACCTGATGATGGCCGCCCAGCCACTCCCCCAAGTGACCTCATTGAGATCCAGGTGGTGAAGGTGACGGACACCACGCTGGTCCCCGAGCCCCCGGAGCCAGGTTCTCTGCACTGTGCCTTGTGCCCGGCTGCCTTCCGGCTGGTCTCCGAGCTGCTGTTCCACGAACATGGTCACCTGGCGGGGGCTGAGGGTGGCGGGCAGGGTGGGGACCCCAGCCGGTGTCATGTGTGTGGCCACAGCTGCCCTGGCCCCGCCAGCCTCCGTGCCCACTATAGCCTGCACACGGGTGAGCGGCCCTACCGCTGCGCCCTCTGCCCCCGGGCCTTCAAGGCCCTGGCCCCTCTGCTGCGGCACCAGGACCGACACGGGGTGGAGCCGGGGGCCCCTCGGAGGCCCCCGGAGGCGGCGGCGGCGGCGGCAACTCAAGAGCAGCGGCCCTGGGCGCCCCCGGAGAGGTCGGAGGTGGTGCTGGCGGCGGCAGCAGCGGGCGCGGCGGTGGGGAAGCCCTTCGCCTGCAGGTTCTGTGCCAAGCCGTTCCGCCGCTCCTCAGACATGCGAGACCACGAGCGGGTGCACACGGGCGAGCGGCCCTACCACTGCGGCGTGTGCGGCAAGGGCTTCACCCAGTCTTCGGTGCTCAGCGGCCACGCGCGCATCCACACCGGAGAGAGGCCCTTCCGCTGCAGCCTCTGCGACCGCACTTTCAACAACTCCTCCAACTTCCGCAAGCACCAGCGCACCCACATCCACGGGCCGGGGCCGGGGGACTCTGGGGGCCCGCTGGCACCGGGGGCCGAGGGGCCGGGGAGCGGGTGTGGGGCAGGGAACCCTCTGGGAGAGGGGCGTGGGGAGATGGCCAAAGTGAAGGTGGAGGTCGACCAGTAGTCGGGGAGAGACGGCACGTCGCTGCAGGGGATGGGTGGGTGAGCGAAAGAGGCCAGGGAGGACAAGGAGAGGTTCGGGGCGGAATGACATCACAGCACACAGAGATGGCCACGAGCGCCCGCGTGGGAGAGTGCACGGACAGCCGGGCTCAGGACGCTCACAAGTCACACAGCCCCTGCGTGAGGTTCGGAGAAAGGCACGGCAGCAGCCCTGTGGGTGCTAGGAACCTGGGCTGGATGTCACGGCCTCCTTCACCTCCCCGACAGCTTGTCCTTGCACAAGACATCGCTTGTCGCAGCAGAGCCTGGGCACTTCTTGGGGTGGGGGATCCAGGCTGGACCCTTTCACCTACCTCACTGGATCATACTGACCCTAAGATCGCCCACCTGTCCTCAGTCTGCCAGCCGGATCCTCCAATAAAGCTGGGACCCTGTCTCCTCAAAGCCAGAGGGTCCCCAAGTCACAGTGTCAAGGATGGAAGCCTGACCCTAAGGATTTTGACGCCAGGAGCCCGACCCCTGCTCCCACGGTGATCTCTCCCTAAGCCAGACTCCTCTTTCAAGACAACTAAAAAGCCGGCCCATGCTCAGCCAGCTGCTGCGCCCCTCCTAAAACTCGGCTCAGAGCCCAGGGGCTACCAAGGAGCCTCCAGTGGATCTAATTCCCTCCAGTCCCAGTTAGGAGCAAACAGCTTACAGGCCAGTCCCAGGCTATCCCACAGAAGGGTTGGTGGATGCCGATGGAGCTGGCCTAGCCGGCCTGTGGTGGGTGTGAGGCAGGAGATAAGTCATGGCTGGGGGGCAGAGGAGAACCTGGGGGCTGGAGGTGGGAGGCCTCCAGTGCTATTCCTATTAAAGGACTCTCTGAAGGATTTCTCTATGTTGACCTTGTGTTTCCGGGGGAGAGGGAAGGAGGGCTACACTGGGGTCTTGTCCCCAGCATTGAGTCGTGACTCTCTTCAGACCTCTGTTTCCTCATCATTAGAACCGGGGAGGGGATAGTCGGGGGGAGGGGGGGGTGTTGGCGGTGGACAGCGTCTTGCTATCCAAAGAAGCTATGTGGTTCAGCTGTGGAACTGGGGATCAGGGAAGTTCGGCAATATGAAGGGCTCACAGGATCGGTGTGCTTCAGGAGGGGGAGCCCAGGACTCACACCTCTTCCTGTTCACCCAACACCCCCACAAGACATCTCATAGATGAAAGAGAATTCTGTTTTCACCAAGGAGACGCCCCTGGTGTGGACATCACCACCCTAGCTACACACCTTGGGGGGTTCCTTAAGCCATCTTCACCCTTCACCCATCCGTCTAATCGCTTATCAATTTACTGTTGTTGGAATCTGAATGCTTCTTTTCATCATCACTATCCTTGAAGACCAAGCCAACAACAGTCTCACAAGGCCGGGGCCCCTACCTCTTCACTCCAGGCTGTGGCCACCTGGACCCGTCCTTTGGAAACACAGATCCCCACCTTGTCACCAACCCCCAGCTCCTTGTGGCTACGAGGAGGGATCCCAAACATGAGCGCCTATAGGGACTTCGTGATGATGTGAGTGAGGAAGGTGGTGGGGTTTCAAGGAGAAACACCAGGACGAGCGAGGTAAAATGGGACCACTGGCACGTGGGATGCAATGTTGCTGGGAACTGGCAGCAGTCTGGAGAATACACGCCACGTCCAAAGAGAGCAAGGGCCACTCGGCCCCGGGGGGACGCAGACTACATTGCTAGATGTTCCAAATTTTTCAAAAGTTGCATTACTATTTATATTATGTGAACTCGCTCTTTTTTTTTAATGTGGCTGCACTGGGTCTTAGTTGTGCATGTAGGATCTAGTTCCTCGACCAGGGATTCGTCCCCGGCCCTCTGCACTGGGGGCTCTGAGTCTTAACCACTAGACCACCAGGCAAGTCCCCATATGTAAAATCATTCCATGTTCAAAGTCTGGCAATCAAGTCTTTTTTTTTTCTTCCCTCCCATGGGCTAAACTGGATGTCTCAGCGGCTCAGATCCAGCGGCTGCCAGCCTCCAACCCCTGCCTCCAAGGTCATCTGAGCTCCACTGTTTGGGGTTCGTGGCTCTTCAGGAGCCAGTCCCCGGCCACACTAATCTATTCAAAGCTTGCTGGAATGGCTGGGTTGACTTGGACATGCTTTAACCCTCCACCGGGAGTTCAATGCCCAGCTCACCTGGCAAGCTTCTGCGGCTGTCCTCCTTTGGGTTTCCTGCTCCTCCCGGGAGCCTGGTTAGCCCCTCCAGTCTGATGATGCGGAGAGCGCGCCATGCTCTCAACCCCCGGGCAGACTCCACATCCTTCGCAGTGTGGTGCGCCGCATCCATGTGACTCACTTTGAGTCCCACTCCAGCTCTGTCACCTGCTGGGTCTCCAGCGTTAGAGTAAGGTGGCCACACTGGCTTGCTGCCCTCTCGTGGGTCAAACTGGACTCACCCAGGCAGTGACCCCTGACCTGACTTGGTCTCCAGGTTTCAGTCCTGAGGCACCCGGGACTGTAGGTCCAGGGCTCCTACGAACCTGCTAGGTATCCTTGGAGCCTTTCTTCTCTCGGACCTCAGCATCCTCTTCTGACAAGTGGGCTAAGTCAGCCTCGCAGGGCATATATTTCACTGCTCTGAGGACCAAAATGAGGGCTGTGAAAGGGCTTCTAAAGTTCCACTAAGTCACTCTGGAGGGCGACATCCTACAAGTGGGCTGTATAATAAACAGAGCCCTGGCTCACCAGCTCTCTTCCAGCTCATTTGAGGGCAAGGAATGTGTCCACTTCACATTTCCCCGTGTGTGCTGTCACTCAGTCTTGTCCAACTTTTGCAACCCCATGGACTTCAGCCTGCTGGGCTCCTGTCCATGGAGTTTTCCAGGCAAGAATACTGGAGTGGGTTGCCATTCCCTCCTCCAGGGGGTCTTCCCCACCCAGGAGTCGAATCCATATTTCTTAAGACTCCTGCAATGGCAAGCGAGTTCTTCCCCACTAGCGCCAATGTTTCCCCAGTGTCTATCAAAGGACCCGGCAGACAGGGGCCTTGGGAAAATGTTGTTGGCCGCGGAATAAACCAACCACGAAAGTATCCTGAAGGGGAAGGAGTGCAGGTACGTGGTCGGTTCCCCAGAGCAGTGCCTTACCTATCTTGTTCTGCGTTCGCTCCACTGGGAGACCAGAGCCTGGACATGGTGAAGCCTCGGTGACTACAGGCTGAAAGAAGAAAAGCAGAGAGAGGCAGAAGGTGTGGGGAAATCGCCATCCCAGGAAGCCAAAATTCTCAACCTTCTGTTTGTCAGCGCTCAACCCCCGCCCCCTGGGACGTAAGAAGGGACTCCACCGGCCCTGTTGATAAGATTTATTATTCTCCGCTCTGTACAAGCCGCGTCTGCCCCCCGCCCCCCACCCCCACAAACCAAGAGCACCCAGGCCCCCACCCCGTGCCCTCCCGAACCGCTTGCGCTCCGCTGTCCGGCCAGCTTGCCGGGGAAGGGGGGAGTGTCAGTCCAGACCCGGCTCCACCCAGCTCACCGGGGGGCTGAAGGCTGCTGGGGCAGGGGGGCTGGAGAGGGGTACACATCAAGGGTGGACGGAGGGTCGAGTTCATTGTCCGATAGGAGGAGAGGGCCAGGGAGGTCCAGGTGGAGAGAGGCAGGCTAGGGTCTGCACGACATGGGCCTTGGGGGAGGAGGCTAGTCCGTCTATAGTTCGGAAGGATGGCTGGGACGGCCGGCAAGAGGAGGTCCGCGCCCCAGAAGGGCGAGTCCGGGAAGGGACGTCTGATGGGAGCGGCGGAGGGGAGGCACACCCCCCGGTCAGGCGTCCTTCCCGGGCAACGGGCCGGCCCCTGCGCCCGGCCCTGCCAGGCCCTCGGCCTTGTGCGCCAGGCGGTGTTTCTTGAGGCCATAGGTGTTGGCGAATCCCTCACCGCAGGAGGAGCAGCGGAAAGGCCGGCCGCCCTGGTGGGCCGCCAGGTGCTTCCGGAAGTAGCCGGGGTCCTTGAAGGCCTTGAGGCAGGCAGGACAGCGGAGCTCGGGCCGCGGCGGCTCGTGCGCGCGCTGGTGGCGCAGCACAGAGCTCAGGTAGAAGAAGCCCTTGCCGCAGTGCTCACAGCGGTAGGCGCGCTCGCCCAGGTGCAGCCGCTGGTGCTCCAGCAGGTTGGAGCGGTAGCGGAAGGTCTTGCCGCAGGCGCCGCAGCGCAGGGGCCGCGCCACGGCGTGCAGCCGCCGGTGCTCCGCCAGGCTGGACGACTGCGCGAAGCGCTTGGCGCACACGCCGCACTTGAAGGCGCGCTCGCCCGTGTGCACCACGCGGTGCTGCCGCAGGTACCAGGAGCGCAGGAAGCCGCGGCCGCACACGCCGCAGCGGTAGGGCCGCTGCTCCGTGTGGCAGCGCTGGTGGCGCATGAGCAGGGCCGCCTCCCAGAAGCGCTTGCCGCACACCGGGCAGCGGAAGCCCCGCTTCTGCCGGTGGCTGCGCCGGTGCAGCAGCAGGTCATAGGCGCCCGCGAAGCTCTGGCCGCACAGGCCGCAGCCCAGGGTCCGGCGCACCAGGTGCACGTACTTGTGGGTCACCAGGCCCAGGAAGTGCTTGAAGCTCTGGCCGCAGGTAGCACAGCTGAAGCGCTCAGGGCCCGCGCTGGCGCCCCCGCCGCCCCCGGCCGCCGCGGACCCGCCCGCGTCCTCGCCCCCGGACACCCCAGCCAGTGCCGCCACGGCTGCCCCCACCTCCCCGGCCAGCCCGTTGTCCAGCACGGTGGCTGCGTCGGTGCCGCCCGAGCCCTCCGGAGGCTGGGCGCCGCCAGACGCGGGCGGCAGCAGGCGCTCGGGGGCCGCCTGGTGCACCAGCTTGTGCCACATGAGGTTCTCGATGAAGCCGAAGGTCTTGCCACACGCATCGCAGCCGTAGGGCTTCTCGGCCATGTGCGCCTCCTTGTGGCTCATGACGTGGAAGAGATCCGGGAAGTGCTCGCCGCAGTCCGAGCAGGCGTAGCTCAGCCCGTCAGCGGCGGCCCCGGACGCGGCCGAGCCGCTCGGGCCGGCCGCCCCCGCCGCGCCCTGGGCGGCGGGGAGGCCGGCGGCCCCGGCCAGGGCACAGGGCAACTGGAGCCGGTGCACCTGTCGGTGGCGCGTGAGGCTCTGCGGGTAGCCGAAGACCTTGCCGCAGAGCTCGCACTTGTAGGGCCGCTCGCGGGTGTGCACCACGTGGTGCTTGCTCAGGTGGAAGGACTCGCGGAAGCGCTTCCCGCACACCGGGCACTGGTGCGGCTTCTCGCCCGTGTGGATGCGCTCATGCCGCTTCAGGGTCTCGCGGCGCCCGAAGCCGCGCCCGCAAATGCCGCAGCAGAACGTCTTGCCGGGCGCGCCGGCGCCCGAGCCCCCCGCCCCTCCGGGGCCGGCCCCGCCGAGCAGCAGCGGGTGGGCGCCCAGCAGCGGGACGGGCACGGCTCCATACACCACCGCCGCGGCCGCCGCCGCCGCCGCCTTCTCGCCGTCGGAGGCGGGCGGGTCCGGGGGCAGCAGATAGGGCCCCGGCGGGAAGGCGGGCGCGGGCGGCGCGCCGGGGGCTGCCGCGTCCTTGGGCGCTTCAGGGGCGGCGGGCGGGCCGTGCGCCGCCTTGTGGCGCAGCAGGCTCTGAGGCGCCGAGTAGGACTTGCCGCACAGCTCGCAGGGGTAGGCGGGCCGCGGCCCGGGCGCGCCCGCGTGCGCCGCCTGGTGCTTGAGCAGGTAGGCGGCGTCGCGGAAGGCCTTGCCGCACACGCCGCACGGCAGGCGCAGCAGGTCGGCGGAGTGCGTCTTCACGTGGCGCTTGAGGCTCTCGCGGCGGTTGAAGCTCTTGCTGCACACGGAGCAGGAGAAGGGCTTCTCGCCCGTGTGGATGATCTGGTGCTGGTGCAGGTGGCTGGGCTTCTTGAACACCTTCCAGCACAGCGTGCAGGCGAACGGGCCGTCGCCGCCCCCCGCCGCCGCTGCCGCCGCCCCCGCCGGAGGGGCCACCCCCACGCCCGCGGGGGCCGCGCTGCCGTCGGCGGGCGCGGCCGGGGGTCCCGGGGGCGCCGAGGAGGGCGCGGCGGGCGCGGGCAGGCCCAGCGGAGGGAGCGGCGGCGGCGCCGGGGCGCCCGCGGCCGGCGGCACGTCCTTGTGGCAGCGGCGGTGGCGGATGAGGCTGGACACGTGGTTGTAGGTGCGGCCGCAGACACCGCACTCGTAGGGCCGCTCTCCCGAGTGCACCAGCATGTGCTGCACCAGGTGCGAGGACTGCTTGAAGGACTTCTGGCACACGCCGCACGGGAAGCGCCGCTCCATCAGGTACTTGAGCCGCCGGAAGTAGCCTTTGTCGTCCTTGGCCGCATCGCAGGTTGCTGACCCCGCCGCCGCCGGGCCCGGCGGCGCCTGCGAGGCGGCAGGGAGTGGCCCGGGGGTCCCCGGGGGCGCGGCCAGCCCCGGCGCAGTCCCCGGCCCAGCGGCCGGCCCCCCACGCTTTAGGTTCCCGAACAGGTGTTGGTGGCCTGAGAGGTCCACGATGCCCCACTGCGGGGCCGGGAAGGCCGCGTCGAAGATCGGGGGTGGCGGCGCCCCGAAGGCGGGCGGCAGCGGCGGGTCGGGCTTCTTGGCCTGGGTGGACGACGACGAGGACGAGGAGGACGACGACGACGAGGAGGACGAGGAGGGGGCCTCGGCCTTGGGCTTGAAGCTGGCCTGGGGCGGGTAGTCATACTGCGGCGGGGGCGGCGGCGGGGGCGGCTGCGGCGGGGGCCCAGGCGCGCAGGGCAGCGAGGCTACCGCCTTGGCGTGCTCCCCGTAGAGCTCCATGGGCTCGAAGCGCTGGTGGTTGAGGAACTCCAGGAAATCGAAGGGGTAGCTTTGGAAGTGGACCCCGTCCTCGCCCCCCAGGCCGCCGCTCCCGCCGCCCCCGGCGCCGCTGCCCGCTGGGTTCGCCTCCATCCTGGGCGGCGGGGAGACGGGGGACCCTGCAGAGAGGAGAGCGGGGCTCAGGAGGCAGGGCCACGCGGGGTCCCCCAGCTGAGGGCGCTGGAAGAACCACACGCACCGGCCGCCCCCCCCCCCCCACTGTCCGCCCTCGCCCGTCTGTCTCTCTGTCCTTCCCCTGCACCGAGCAGTCTTCCCCGGGGCTCCGCTGGCACGCTGACCTCTCCCACTCGGCCTGCTGCCTCCCGCCCCTGTCCTCTCTGGCCCTCATCTCCCTCCTCTTCCAGAGATTCCCCCTCTCCCTTCTTCCCGCGGTTGCCACACATCTCCATCCATCCCCAACACCGCTGGCACGCCTTGTTCTCAGACTCTGGTCTCGGGCCCCTGAGAAAACACTCCCAGGCCTCCAGCCCGGGTCCCCCAGGCCCTCTGCTCTGTAGCCACCACCACACACGCACTAGCCCCAGCCCTGTCTCCCAAACCGCTCAGGTTCTGCCTTTGCCAAAATAACAGTTTCTATCAGTGGTTAAAAGGGTGGCCTGTGGAGCCACAATGCCTCGCCAGCCTCTGTGTGTCCCTGGACAAGTTCCTGAGCCTCCCCATCTACACGCGGAGGCGACAGATCACGCCCCTGTCTCCCAGGGCTGCTGGGAGGACCCGACAAGCTACGGTGCGTCGGGTGGACACTCGGGGCCCTCTGGAGGGGATTCTCACCCTCACCCTCACTGCTGGTAGCAGGAACACAGTCAGGACAAACGGCGGGGGGCGCTGGGAGGAGGGCCCGTGGGCAGGCACATTCCTCCACTACCACGTGTGAAGGCGGCGCTGCCGGCCTGGGAGGACAAACAAGTCACAGTGGGAAACACGCCGGGCCCGGGTTTAAGCGCCATCCCCGTCCTGACCTATGCCTGTAAAGGGGGCGCTGAACCCCAGGAGGGGGACTTAAGGGGGCTGGTGCAGGGTGGAAGGGAACACGCTGGCTGGCAGGGCTCGTGCAGTCCCTGGAGCTACCTATACCTTCATGGGCATCACGCTCCTGGGAGGAGCCTGGTGGCAGGTGGTCCGGGAGCGGGGTTCCCGCCCCCTCCCCCCAGCAGTCATTCTCTAAGCACCTCCTTTCCAGGACCTCGCCTTCAGGACTGCAGCTGGCCAGCGTCTGTCTGCCCCAACCTACAGTGTCCCCTGCAATTGATCTCAGCCTGACACCCACCAGGGGCCCCAGGAAACGCCTCCACTGAGCAGGTGGAGCGCGACGGGGAGAAGGGCCCGCTCCGTCAGGCGTGCCTCTTAGCCATCGTCCCCCCTCCGCTGGGGCCCGGGCCCTGCGGCCAGCCCACCCCAGGGTTCAGTGGGCCCATCCGCGCCATCTGGCTGCGTCTGTCCCCAGACAGGTGAAAGGTGAGTGCCTCCCCGACCCCTGCCCGGAGGTCAGTATTTTTAGCCTCCAGCTCCGGGTGTCCCTGGGTGCGATTCAGCAGCCCATGCCCTTCACATTCAGCTGGTTAACCTGATCTCCGGAAGGACCAAAGGCGTGGCTGGGTGCTAGTGGAAGTCTGTGGGCAAAGCCAAATCCAGGAGGCAGTGCTGGAGTAGGCTGGCCAGGGCAGGGGGCGGGGAGAAGGGGGCGAGGGTAGGGAGTGCCCGGTGGGGGCGGGGCCCCGGGGTGAAGCCCCACCCCACCCCAAGCGTACAGCTGCAGGTCACTCCCCAAGGCCAGCACCCTCGGAATCCCCGCCGTGACGCGCACGCACAAGGTGGTTCCCCGAGGAGGAGGAAGGCGAGGGTGGAACTCGGGGGACAGAGGCCTTACTTTGGGGGGCGCTCTCTGGGTTATGAGGGGTGTTTCTACATGGGGCCAGGTGGGAGGGGGGTTACCTTCCTGAACACATGGAGTGGTGAGGTGGTGCGGCTGCTCCTTCCTGCCTGGACCCTCGTCCCCAGACCTCACGCCCCCAGCCCTAACCCCCTTGAGGTCTCTGCTTCAGGTCGACGTCACCTCCAGGAGAGGGGACGTGCATCCCTCGCCCCACTACTCACGCGCCCCTCATCCTGCTGCACTTTTTTCACTAAAGCCACTGCTGCCAACATGCTGTGCATATTTCCTCTTGCTGTCTCTTTACTGTCGGGCCTCCTCGCCTACAGGGGCGAAGACTTGGCCTGTGTGGCTTACCACTGGGCGCCCAGCACCTAGCACAGCACCTGGCACAGCATGGTTACTTGGTAAATTATTTGCTGAAATGGAATTAAACAGCACCCTCCCACATCACCAGCGGGAAATCAGATGGACAAAAATGGAAAAGTAACAAAAGTTAGGAGATGCAACTAAAGCTGGGCTCAGAGGCAAACTTATAGCTATTGGTGTCTGCTGATATAAATTCGTTGAATAAATAAAGGGATTCGACTGTGCTGACCAGAACTTACTGGGGCGGGGGTGGGGGAGTGGCATTTAGCAGAGATGGAGCTGATATTGTCGAGGTGTGCCCAGGAGGACGAGTTCTGGTGGGAATGATGTCGTGAAGAGGCCCTCCAGGGCAGGTGAGATGCCGAAGGACTGCGGCTGAGAGATGTAGGCAGTGGGGCTAAGGGACAAAACTGGCTGGGCTCACAACTATTTCCAGGGAAAGGAGCCACATTTCCTGTCTCCAGGGACCCGAGTCTTAAACTGCTGTCTTTCTAAGGGGAGATGTGTGGTGGATTTCATGCAGAGTGGCCTGAGGGGGGGAGCCCCTCCCAAGGGGCAGGAGTCCCATAGAAACCGCAGTCCCAGTCCTAACGACTCGTGTTTGCTGTCTGACGGGTTTCATGTGGACTATCACCCTGATGCCTCCTAATGTCCTGTACATTACTGGATCCATTGCATAAGGAAGGAAATGGAGAAGTGGGAGGGGTCACTTCCCCAAGGAGGGGAAAGCAAGTATTGGATCCCAGGCCCCTGATGCCCAGAGCTGTGGGCCATGCTGGCGCAGTAAAGCTGCCTTGTGATGAGATTCTCGTCTGTAATGACAACAGCAACGACACAGTGACGGAGAGCCCCGAAGGAGTGCTTCCGAAATGGCAAGTGCCCTTTAAATCCTTCATATGTGTTGACTCATTAAGTCTTCCCAATAACCCTAGATGTTTCAGATTATTAACCCTATTTTACAGAGGAAGAGACTGAGGGCCCAAGAGGTCAATTAATCTCCTAAAGTCATACCACCACCAAGTGGCAGGGCCAGGAGTCGAAGGCCAGCGGTGAGGTTCAAGAGGACATGCTGTTATCCTCACAACATGCTGTCTTTATCTTTTTCTTTATTTGTGGTAACCCCTCATGGCTTGCAAGATATTAGTTCCCTGACCAGGGATGGAACCTGGTCCCCCTGCAGTGAAAGCATGGGGTCCTAACCACTAGACCACCAGAGAATTTCCATGCTGTCTTTCAATATTTCTCTCCAAAATTAAAAAAAGCCTTCACTCCACTTTGTACTGGAAATACACTCTGCCCATTCACTTTGCTGCCACACAACCCCAGGACTAGCCACTGGCATTTACTCAATGCTAACCAGCACTGCACTGTTTTATGTGCCTTCTTTCAATCAAACCTCACAACAGACTCTCAAGATAAGCACTACTGGGACTTCCCTGGTGATCCAGTGGTTAAGAATCTGCCTTGCCATGCAGGGGAAGTGTGTTCAATCCCTGGTCAGGAAATAAAGATCACACACGCCGCAACTACTGAGCGCACATGCCACAACTAAGACCCTACTGAGCCAAATAAATACAAAAAAAAAAGGAAAAAGATAAGCTTTATTATTGTTCTTACTTAGTAGACAGGAAGACTAAGACCAAACCATGTCACTGTTGCTCCTCTGCTCAAAACCTGCAGTGACATCTCAAAAGAGGTCAGAGAAGACCTCCGCAGCCCCAGGTGCCTCCTGGCAGCTCTGGCCTCATGCTGGCTCCATCACTGCCCCAGGGCCTTTGCATGGGCTGTTGCTTCTGCCTGGAAGGCTGGGACTCCCATACACACAGCTCTCTCACCCCCTCATCTCCTTCACGTCTTTGCTCAGACGCTGTCTTCTCAGCAAGGTGCTCCAAGACCACTGTAACCTGTCACCCAGAGCAACATTCCTGCTCACCCCAGCCTCCTTCGCTTCTCTCCTTTCCAGTCAGTGCATGCGTGTGTGCGTTTGTGACCCTATGGACTGCAGTCCGCAGGGCTCCATGGGGATTCTCCAGGCAAGAATACTGGAGTGGGTTGCCATGCCCTCCAGTCAGTACCACCAAGGTATGTTCTATTTGTTGCTGAACTGCCCCTCCAGGAGGTGGGCTCCAAGCAGGCAAGATTTTGTATCTGATTTGTTCACTGGTCAGCACTTAGAACAGGGCCTGCCTCAACAAACGTGTTAAATGAGTGAATGAATGAGGCCTGGGGAATAGGGAGTGGTCTGCTCAGAGATAGGAAGGCTAGTGAGCCAGGGTTCATGCCCTTAACCATTTCACTCCCGGGGGAGGGGAGCGTTAAGGAGCACCCCCCTCACCCCCGGGGGACTGCAGCTGTCCAGGAGAGGAGTCTACACACACGTCTAACTTCTCAGTGCTGGGGGGACGGATCTCTTGAAAGAGGCCTTCCTGCCACCTCCTCTGACCCTGCTGTATTTCCTTCACACAAACATCTATATTTTGCTTTTTAATTGTCTGCCCCAGAGGTGGCATATGCACTCCACGAGGACAGGGTTTTTGTCTGTTCTGTTCTCTGCTGCATCCCCAGTGTGTAGCAGGTGTTCATTCAACAGTTGTTGAACAAAGGGAAAGAAGGAACAAATGAAGAACACTCTGGGCTCCGCAGAGCTGACCAAGGCCAGGAGACTGGTCACAACGCCCTCACCTCTAGGGCCCTGTGAGAGGGCCCTGTGAGATCACACCGTTTCCCCGCTCATCCTCCCTTCCACTCCTCTGCTCCAACCTCACTGCCTCCCCTGCTGCCCCTCCCATCAGCACACTCACAGCAACCTCAGGGCCCCTGCCTGGAACAATTCACCCAGACCTTTCCGTGGTGAGGTTGCCTGTGCTAATTCAGGTTTCACCTCTGAAGTAGCTCATAAGGCTCTCAGAAAAACCCAGAAAAACAGCACCGATCTTGTTTACTTGCTTTTGATCGGTCTCAACCAGACTGTAAAGACCCACAAAACAAAGACTGCATGGCTCTCTCCCCTTCACGCTGTACACCCTGGACCTGGAACAGCAACTGCATATTCGTTCATTGAAGAGTGAATGAATGAATGTCCAGGGGAAGAGGCGGCCGTCGCCCAGTGAAGCTGGGTCTTCCTTGGGGAGTCGAGGAGGAGGGCCGTGGGGAGAAGCTGCAGGTGAGGATGCGAGCTGTCAGGGCCAGGGGAAGAGCTTTGAGGGGAAAGCCTCACGTGGGGCGCCGTTCCCTGGGAGGACCCCATACAGGCGCTGACCCTGAGGAGGGCGGGGTGGCGGTGTTTCAGGGGAGCCTGGGGCTAAACTGGCAGCTATTCCTATCTGAAGGGGGGAGGATGTGAGTGTGCGAGCACAACTCTAGGGGGAGCCGTCTATGGAAGGGGGGAGTGAAGGTGTCGGTCATCGAAAGCAATATTCTCAAGGAGGATTATTGCGGGAGGGGGCAGAAAATGAAAAAAGGTATTTTGGGCCGCTGATCAGAATGCAAAATATTTTTACAGTAACGAAGGGGGCGTTGGGGAGGGGGGTGGTTAACAGCTTTGGGGCTGTTGTGCGTGGACAGAGAAAATAGGGGTCTGCTATAAAATACTAATATCACACTCTTGCGAAGCAACCTACAAGAATACCAAAGGGAGGGATCACGGACAGCTGCTCCGCACGGGGACGGTCAATGCCGATGGCATTTGGGGGGCTGTCCTGCAGGAAGCAAAGACGGGGGGACTATGTAGAAAGGGAACCTATGAGAAAGCCTTAGTGGGGGGCCCTGGCAGCAGCTGAGGGATCGCCACGAGTGAGGGCGTTCTGGTAGCTGTCCTGCACGGGGGGCGGTAATGGGGCGCTATCCGGAGTCGTCTCCTGGGGGAGAAGTCATGGAGGGGCCCCCCAGCGAGGGCCAGGCGCGAGAAGCACTGATAGGAACGCTCCGGGAACCAAGGCGGGCCAGGGCGGGACCCCCCGCCCACGCTGCCCCCGGGCCCCCGGGCCACGCGCCCCGTCACTCACCGGCGCCGGGGTCTCCGCCGGGAGGAGGCTGAGGAGGCGGAGGAGGCGCCGCCGCTCCGGGGAGACCCGAGGGCCCGACCGGAAGTGCCGCCCCCTCCCCCTCCCCGGCAGCCCCGCGCCGCCCGCCTGCCCGCCCGTCCGGAAGCGGAAATCGCGCCCGTCTCCGAGGCGCCGGCGTGGAGGAGCGGAAGCGGGAGGCGGTGGCAGAGACATGGAAGGGGAAATGCGCCTGCGCGCTGGCTCTGGGGCCGCGGGGACCGGGGAAGCCGACTCCGCTTCCGGTGGGCGAGCGGAGCGCAGTGCGCCTGCGTCCTGTGCCCCCGCCCCTTCCTAGGGCACCGCCCACACGCCCCAGGCCCCTGTTAAGCCACGCCCCTGTGCAAAATTAACACATAAGCCCCGCCCCACCCCCGACGGCGCCTCTTTCGGAGCTTAATTATCGTAGTCCCCGCCCACCGCCTCAGAACCCACCCTCCTCGACCCAGCCCTAGAAGTCTACCCCGTACTTCCCGGTCTCAAAGGCTCCGACTCTCTGGAAGCCCACCTCTCCCTCGTAACCCCCGCCTCTCGGAGCTTCTGGGGCCAAGCCACGCTCCTGCGCGTGAGCCCCGCCCTTTCCGCTCGCAGTATTTAAGCCCCCGCCTCTCTCACCGCTTTCACGCTCAATTGTTTCCCATTTCCCAAAGCATTTCCTGAAGTCAGGGGGTCTGAAAGTGTGACTTGAATACCAGCAGCGGCGGCGCCACAGGAAATTAGTTAAAACTGTAAATTCCCAGGCCCCCTACCCTAGATTCCCTGAATCACAGACCCTGGGGGTAGGCCTAGGGACCTGCATTTTAAAACACTTCAGATGATTCTGACGCAGGCTGAAGTTTCGAACCACACAGCTTTACCACATTTTACACGGCCCCTCACGTATACTCGCTCTAAGCCTCGCCTCTAACTCAGCCCCACCTCAAGCAGCTAAGCCCGAGTCTCTCCAGCCCTTCCTCAGCTCTGCTTTCCTCTGGGACTCTCCTTCGGTACTCCTAAGGACCCCCTTCTCTCCCCTTGGCCTGCAGAGCAGTTATATCCACTGCTCAGCATCCTCACAGTTCAAGTCCTACCTGTCCCAACACCTTGCTCTCCTGCAGTTTCCCCTTGAAGCCCCTCCCGTCAGATAAACCCCCTATCCATTCCCTCTTAACGCTCTCACTTTCTGCCCACCAACCCGCCCACTTGTTTAAGCCCCTCCCCGTCCTCAGCCCCCTTATCCTAGGCCCCGCCCACAGCCGTCACCTCTAACTGCGCAGCGTCCCGAGCTGCGTCCTGCGCAGCGTCCAGGTCACTCCTTATCTACTTAAGCCCTACCAAAGTAGTCAGTCCAGCACGCAATCCTTAATTTTGTTGTTTCTCTGCAAACAGCGCCAGAACAAAGAGATGGGCCGAAGTGGTGGCTATAGGATTTCCAGGAATCTGGTTAGAATGACGCGGGGGACAGGGACCTGGGGTCACGTTTGCACGAAAGGTTCTGTTTTACTTGAGTGGACATTTAGGGGGGAGTGCTTTGGGGTCCGCTGGGGATGGGAGGGGAGGCAGAGGCTTCTCTCAACCCAGTCTTTAGCGCCAAGCTAATGAAGCGCATGGCATTGGGGGGGGGGGGGTGGGGGGCAGTGGCGGAAGGACACGGCAAGGAAGAAGGGGGCCAGTCCTGGGACCGTGAGGGAATACACACCAATGGGCAGTAGGCAGAGATTTATTTCCACAGCCCCTGCCTCCACAGGCCTGTCAGTCCGCGGGAGGGTGGTAGAAGGCAGCAGGACCCAGAAGCTGAGGTCTGCACCCTCAGCCCACTCCCAGAACGGGAAGACCACCAGACAAGGTGTCCCGGCCTCACTGCCCAGGCCCCGCACCCGGGGCACGCCCAGCTCTAAGCCTGGCCGGGGGAGCGGTGGCCCGAGGTGTGGGTCAGGCCAGCTCTTTCCCCTCCAGCTCTTCCTCCTCGTCATCGGCCCCTGCCGTGGCCGGGATACCGTCGTCGTCCCACGGCGCTTCAGGCTCTGGGTCCGGAGGACACAGAGGTGCCCCCATGGCCTCGGGGTGCTTGCGTTTGGCGTGGCGCCGGAGCGTGTTGGTCTCCATGAAGCGCAGCCGGCACACCGTGCACTGGTAGGGGCGCTCGCCGGAGTGGACGCGGTGGTGGTGGGCCAGCTCGCCCGCCTCTCGGAAGCGGCGGGGGCAGAGCGGGCAGCGGAAGGGCCGCAGGCCCGCATGGATGTTGCAGTGCCGCCGCAGGTGGCTGGACCGCTTGAAGGTCTTGCCGCAATCCTTGCACTCGTGTGGCTTCAGCTCTGAGTGTGAGATGCTGTGACGCTCCAGGTCGGAGAGGTAGGGGAAGGCCCGAAGGCACACCGGGCAGAAGTGCGGCGCCTTCTTAGGGCCGGGGCCGGAGCTCTCGGGCCCACCAGCCACTGACCCTTCGGAGACCGTGTAGGGCACACCCTGATCATCGATCAGCAGGAGGTCACTGCCATCGCCGCTGCCCACCGGGGCGCTCACCCCCTGTGTCAGGGGGGGCTCCTGCTCTGACTTGGCTGGGCGGCCCCGCTTGCGCGGGAGGGAGGCCTTGAGCGTCCGGCTGGAGGAGGTGGCCCCCCCAAGACTTCGGCCTCGACGGCCCCGGGGAACAGGAGGAGATAAAGCCAGAGGTTTCTCTTCTTCCTCAGGCAAAGGCGAAGGCCACGGGTCTGGGCTGGGGGTGTCCATTGAGCAGTGGGGGGCTTGGGTCTGGGCACTGGAGCCGGGCTAAGAGGAGAGAGGGGCAGCCGTCAATGCAGGGTGGTCTGGAATAGCCCTAGTCCCTCAGACAACTTCCTGGGTTCCAGTCCGTCGACCAGGGCATGGCCGACATCCGCTTGGACACGCAATTAAAGCCAAACTAGTGGGTAAAACAGCAGGATAATTCTGTACCAGTCGCTAATCACCTGAGCCCCACAGGCATCTCCCAGACCTCCCTAACTCCTCCCAGACATTCAGGGTCAAGGAGCAAAAATAAAGAAAACTCTTCCTGGGGTGAGAGTCCAACTGAGGGTGCAGGCCAGTATTTGAACCTCAGAACAGAGAGAAGAGCCAGCAAGGTCTCAGAAATGTTTTCTCTCTCTTCCTGACAAGGTGAGAAGGCCAGAGAAGGGGGCGGAGGGTCAGGACTGGAAGAAAAAAGAAAGGGACTTGTCCCGGGTGACGTGTGCTCCTGAGCTGGGAATGAGGATGTATGTCAGAGCTGTTATGAGCCTGGGCTCTGGAGCCAGAGGTTTGATCAGAGCTCAGATTCCTGAACCTGTCACTCACTCCCTGTGTGGTGGCCTTGGGCAAGGCGCTCACCTCTTCAGGCACCAGCTAAGCCTTTGCAAAACACGGTATTTCCACCTACTCGCACAGACATGCCATGAGGATGATATACATAAAGTGCTCAGTACACAATGGGCTTCCCTGGTGACTTAGACTGTAAAGAATCTGCCTGCAACGCAGAGGACCCGGAGTCCATCCCTGGGTAAGGAAGATTCCCTGGAGAAAGGAATGTCTGCCCTCTCCAGTATTCTTGCCTGTAGAATCCCAAGGACCCAGGAGCCTGGTGGGCTACAGTCCCTGGGGTCGCAAGAGTCGGACACGACGGAGCGACTAACACTTTCACACACAGAGGTCCTTAGGAGAAATTAGCTCTTTTTTTTTTTTGACATTAGCTCTTATTATCATGGCTTGTAACTAAGCTTTACACCAACCCTCTGAATAAGGGTATATCACCTCCTTTTTGCAAACTTGGGAAACGAAGGCACAAGTTGCCAGCTCCCTCTGCTGGTAAGCGGCCGGGTCAGGACTTGATCTCAAGGACCCCAGTGTCTCAGGGAGTGGTAAGTTCTAGGCCCAAGGGACCTCATGAGGTCCCTTAGCCCTACGTTTGAATCAAGCTCTGCTGTTAACTAGCAAGTGGCTTTGCCTCTCCGAACGAGTTCCCACCTCTGTAAAATGGACATAGCAGGGTTGCCGGTTGTAATAAGCACGAAACAATCTACCATCAGCAACACCACCAGGGCCTGGTACCAGGGGACTAGACTGTACTAAAGTTAAAGGCGAGAAACACACAGGTGCACCCCATTAAAGCAGGCACCCAGACTGAGACCCACCGAAGGGCAGCCACTTCTCCGTGACCACACGGCTCCCTCTGTTGGGGGTGTCTAGGCCTGAATCCGGGTCTCTGGAACAAGGCCCAGACCCTCACCCACCTCCACCCCGGGCGCAGGCGCGCGCTCGGCCGGCGGCCCCGACCGCGCGGGGCGGGCCCTGCGGGGGCGGCGGCCAATGAGCGGCGCCGAGCCGCGGACGGCTAGGCCGAGCCAGGAAGGGGGTCTGCGCGCGCGCGCGCGGCCAGGCGGGCCGGCTCGGCGGGGCGCGAGGTCGGCGCGCGCGCCTTGTCGGTCGCGCGCGCCAGAGCAGGTGGGGGGTGCGCGCCAGGCGCGCACGGCCCCGGGCCTCCCCTCGCCCGCTCCCGTCCCCCCGCCCGGGCCCCCCGCCTCTCGGGTACCTCATTTGCATGCCGCCTGGACTCGCGAGTGTGCGCGCGCGGGGGCGCGAGGCCGGCGCGCCGGAGGGGCGGGGGAGAGGGGGGCACTGCCTCCCGGCGGCGCGCGCGCAGCCCCGCCCCTCGGAGAGGACGCCCCTCCCCCGCCCCCCCGCCCGGCCCGGCCCGGCCCGGCCCGGCCCGCGGGGAACAAAGGGCACGCGCTGGGTCCTAAGGGTCCGTCACATCCCCGTCGGCAGACCAATCCTGCACACCCATCGCTCTCGCTGGCCCCGAGCGGGAAAAAATTACCGCACAAACACATCCTACATAAACAGAAATATCGTCCTCCCACAAAGGACCCAGCCAGTTGACCCAATCAAAGAAAGGTACCAAAAGGAGGAGAAGCGCGAAAATGGCGGCGGGTTCCCGTAGTTAACATGGCGCCCGATGGGCTTCAAAACCCACTGGAAGACTAAAGCACAAGATGGAGCCCGCTCTTTCCTCCTGTCTCCGTCGCAGGCGGCGAACTTCAATGTCTGTCTTTTCCTGATGCAACTCGACGTCCTACCCAGGAGAAGCCTGAGGCTGCGACGAGGGAATCAAATCTGCCCTCATCTTTGTTAACACCCACCAGCGTCGACAACGCCGGGATGAGGCCGAGCGCTCGTAGCTTGTTGCCCTTAGTCTGTATGGCGCCGAGGGTCGCCTTAAGCCCCGCCCCTTCCCCATGCCCTCACCCAAGATGGCGCCGCCCCGGCCTCTCTACCCTCCAGCAGCTGGGAAAGGGACAGGAAAGAGGGAGAAGGGAGGGCGGCGGGGAGGAGGGAAGCCAAGAAGGCGGGAGGAAGGGGGAGTGAGGGGTAGAAGGGAGCCGAGGCGGAAGTCGAGGGGCCCCCCGGGTGGAAGTGACGCTACCCCCGCTGCCCAAAATGTCGGCGCCCAGAGGGAGGTGTAAGTAATTAAAGAGGAAAGCCGACTGACTTTCCCGGCCTCCCGGGGCCGCCTCAGGGCTCCAGAAACCCCTTTCCGAGCGAGCAAGGTGGACTCGCCGGGCCGCGGGGCCAGCCAGACCTGCCCCCGCCCCGGGCTCCCGGGCCCGCACCTCTCAGGGACAGGGGGGAGGGGCACAAAGGCCGGCTCTCAGGGCCTGGGTCCCCGAGCGGACTGGGGAGGGGGGCCAGCCCCAAGGGCGACTGGGTGGGGAGGAGGCGGGGCTTAGCGGCGCCGGGGCGGAGCGATGGCTGCGAGGAGGCTGAGTGGGCGTGGCTTGTGGAGTGGGCGGGACTGGGTGGAAGTGGGAGGAACTTGGGCAAGGGGCGAGGTTTGACAAAGGGGCGTGGCTCTGGGAAACTGGTAGGCGGGCCCTAGGTTGAAGGGTCCTCCACTGGGGCTGAGTGGGGAAAAGGGTTCCGTGTGGAGGTGGGAGGAGCTAGGAGAAGGGGTGGAGTTTGTCTAGGGATGAAGCTTTCAGAAAGTGATGGGCATAGTGGAGGGGGGTGGGGTTTAAGCGTGTAATTTGGGGGCGTCTTTAGGGGGAAAAGCAAGTCTTTATAACTGCAGGTGAAATGACTTAGAGAAGATGGGGAAGGCGTCAGAGAGGAACGGCTGAGGTGGCAAGAGAGGGAGAGTGATGGGGCCTTGGAAAGAAAGGGGTTTACATAAAGCCTGCGCTTAAGGAAAAAGCGGGATTTAGTAGGTGGATCTTGGAGAAGAGATGGAGACTTCAAGAGGAAGCTCGGAGTAATTTAGCAGACAGCAGTTAATCAAAACAGCTTAGCTGTTGAGTCTTTGCTGTGCGGTTAGTAAGCAACCACACTTGGCGCGTGTGGCCACAATTATGCTTAGTCCTCACCACCTCCTGAGGTAGGTCCTCCTAGTATCCTATTTTGCGGAGGGAAATAGAATCAGTTGGTTTTCTCGAGGATAGTCATGGTCACCCTGGAAGGTTGATTCATATGCCCTTAACCCAAAATCTTTGTTCTCTCATTGGCTAGCAATGTCAGCCTTCCTCCGAAGATGACTTTCATCTTCAAAGAAGAGAGGGGGTGGCTTTCAGAAATACAACAGGCTTCAGGAACAAGACTTTGGAAGGAGTAGGTGGGGCCTGAGCGTGAGTGGGCGGGGCTTAACCACAGTGGGTGGGGCTTGGAGCAGGGTGGGAGTCCAGTTTAGAAGTGATTGGGAAGATAGGCAGATGAGTGGTGGAAGTGGGGGGAATCCCACGAGAGTGGGAGTGGTTTTAAGGGCAGTGGGCGTAGCCTCTGACAGATGGGCGTGGTTTGGGAGGTAGTTCTCTGGATTTCCAGGGACAAGTGGCAGGTCTGAGTCCAAGGAGCCTAACTGGGGAGGCTGATGGGGAGGTGACTCCCTCACCCCGCTCCATGTCTCCCTGCTCCAGAGAGAGCCCCCACCCACCACTGCCCTCGCACCGCGCCGCCATGGATGACGCGCCGCTGCCAGCGCCCCCGCTCCCCGCCCGGGCCCCGGCCCCGGCCCCAGCTCCGCCCGCTGCTGCCCCACGCGTGCCGTTTCACTGCAGTGAGTGTGGCAAGAGCTTTCGCTACCGCTCGGATCTGCGGCGCCACTTCGCTCGGCACACTGCGCTCAAACCCCACGCGTGTCCGCGCTGCGGCAAGGGCTTCAAGCACAGCTTCAACCTGGCCAACCACCTGCGCTCGCATACCGGCGAGCGACCCTACCGCTGCTCCGCCTGCCCCAAGGGGTTCCGAGACTCCACCGGCCTGCTACACCACCAGGTGAGTCCTGCAGGCCGGCCCTAGGGCTGGCCTCGCTGTGCTGTGCCCTCGGAGCCCCGGAGACCCACTGTGGGCAACAGCAGACAGCTGGCCCCTGAGAAAATTTTTCTCCCCCTCCCTCCCTCCCCATCGAAGCATCCTGACCAGTGAAACCAGGAACTAAAACATTCACAGTAAATTTGCCCCTCCCCTCGCCCGTGCTTCTGCTCATATGCCAGCAACTTTGTGTTCATCTTCCCGTACCGTTTTCTAAGATAGATTTACCATATATGTCCTTAATTCCTTTACTCAGCAATTATCTATCAAATGATTTCCCAGTTCCCAACCCCGGGGCTACCAGGATGAAACCAATGACGTCCATGCCTTCGGAGAACTTACATTCCATTGAAAGTGGTCCATCGCCAGGTAGACAATCAGCAAATTCACAGGCGAGGGTGATCTAGAAAGGCAGAGATTTGGGGAAGGAAGTTAAGACAGCAACAGCACTAATAACCACCTGCTATGAAGGAGGAAAGGGGGAAGAGCTCTGGGCTACCAGACAAGGTAGGAAGGGCAGGGCAAGGTGATGCTCCAGCTGAGACCTGAAGGAAGAGCAGGAATTCGCCATGGGAACAGCATAACAGGCAAAGGGAACAGCCAGTCCTGAGGCTGGAGGGACCAAAAGAATGCGGACAGTGGCCGGACGCAGACAATGAAAGGGTTGCAGCTGGATCCTGGCCTCGTGGACCTGGCCAGAGGCTTCCCCTGTGTCCCTCTGGGAGGCCAAGACTGTTCCCGGGGTCAGACGCTCCGCGCTGACGCCGGGCTCTCCCTCCTGCCCTCGCAGGTCGTCCACACTGGTGAGAAGCCCTACTGCTGCCTCGTCTGTGAGCTCCGCTTCTCCTCGCGCTCCAGCCTGGGCCGCCACCTCAAGCGCCAGCATCGTGGGGCGCTCCCGTCCCCGCTGCAGTCCGGCGCAGGCCTGCCCTCCCTGAGCGCGCCCTGCTCGGTCTGCTGCAACGTGGGGCCCTGCTCTGTGTGCGGGGGCACGGGGGCGGGCGGGGGCGGCGCCAGCGGCGAGGGTCCAGAGGGGGCAGGCGCCGGCGCGGGAGGGTGGGGGCTGGCCGAGGCCGCGGCGGCGGCCTCCTTGCCCCCGTTCGCTTGCGGCGCGTGTGCGCGGCGCTTCGACCAGGGCCGTGAGCTGGCGGCCCACTGGGCAGCGCACACCGACGTGAAGCCCTTCAAGTGCCCGCGCTGCGAGCGCGACTTCAACGCGCCCGCGCTGCTGGAGCGGCACAAGCTGACCCACGACCTGCAGGGCCCCGGCGCGCCCCCGGCGCAGGCCTGGGCCGCCGGCGAGGGCGGCGAGGTTCAGCCAGCCTGGGACGGCGGGTTGCTCCTGGGCCGCGCCGGGGGCGGCGTGCCCGAGCTGGGGGTGCTGCTCCCGGAGGGCGGCGGCGAGGCGCCCGCGGAGCCGTCGGAAGACACGCTGTACCAGTGCGACTGCGGGACCTTCTTCGCGTCGGCGGCCGCGCTGGCCAGCCACCTGGAGGCGCACTCGGGCCCCGCGGCCTACGGCTGCGGCCACTGCGGGGCGCTGTACGCCGCGCTGGCGGCCCTGGAGGAGCACCGACGCGCCAGCCACGGCGAGGGCGCGGGCGCGGGCAGTGCGGAGGCGGCGGCAGCGCCCGCCCGCGAGGGGGAATCCCCGTCCGGGGAGCCCGCGTCCGCCTCGGGCCGCGGCAAGAAGATCTTCGGTTGCTCCGAGTGCGAGAAGCTGTTCCGCTCGCCGCGCGACCTGGAGCGGCACGTGCTGGTGCACACGGGTGAGAAGCCGTTCCCGTGCCTGGAGTGCGGCAAGTTCTTCCGCCACGAGTGCTACCTCAAGCGCCACCGGCTGCTGCACGGCGCCGAGCGTCCCTTCCCCTGCCACGTCTGCGGCAAGGGCTTCATCACACTCAGCAACCTCTCCAGACACCTGAAGCTGCACCGGGGCATGGACTGACACGGCCGGGCCGTGTGCCCCGCCGTCAGACCTCCCCTCCCCGGGGCGCTGGACTCAGGGCCCGGGCCCCGGGGACCTAGGGACCACGAGGGAGGCGCCCCCCACTGGCCCTCCAGAGCCAGGCACGGGCCCTGGGAAGAGGGGACCCTGGCTGGAGGGCAGGGGACCACCCAGCACCTGCATGGGCCCCTGAGCTGGTGGGCGGCAAGACTAACCTCGGGGTCCCGCATCTATGGAGAGACTCCTAACCTCGAGGCCCCTGGAACACGTGCTGAGCACCCCCATATCAATCGGCCTCTAAGCTGTGGGGAGCTGGGGATGACAAAGGGGTCTCCACAAGTCCTCCTCCTCTTGAGGGCCCTAATAATAAAAGATGGGCACGCCCTTCCCCACCCAAGGGAAGACTGCCCCTCTTCCTAAGAGCCATCATTCCAACCATCTAGATCTGGAGAATGGGGGAACCATGTCCCCGGATTTCCCTGGATTCCCCCCCCCCAAATGCTACCCACCAGGAGGAGTCACTGGTGCCCCCAGATAACAGATATAGCCGGAATCTGCCTCCTCCCCTGTCACTTAGACCCTGTGTGGAAAGAGGACCAGGGTAGTTGCCCGGTCTCGCTCCCCTACTGCGGAATGGATGGACCCTAATGACCTTCTCCGCCCCTCAAAACATAGAATAGGCTGGTTCAGAATCCGACCCCCCTCCCCCCGTAGGATGGACTGATCCGGATCCACGTAGACTCCACCCCCTGTCCACTGGAATGGGCGGTGCCGGTTGCGGCCTGCACCCCAGCTCCTCAGAGCAAATACCACAGACATTCCTCTGCGCCCTCCAGCGTGGGGGCCGGTCCACGTCATCTCCGGCTCTGCGAGCTCAAGAGTGGGGCTTGGGGTTCGCCGGGGTATCCCTCGCTCTGCTGTAGCACCTGTCGGTCTTTCCATATCTGTCAGTTTGTGTTCTTCCCAGCGCCAAGGGGAAGGGGGGTTTGGCTGGGGGGGGGTGTCCCCTGTGAGCCTCGACCTCGCCCCCTTGCCCCACTCCCCAGCTTCTCCTGGACCCCAATAAACGCCGTCCTTTCAGCCGCTCCCGTCTCAGGTCCTGATCCTTGGCTTTTAGGGACGTGGGGGCTTCTCCCTCCCTGAATTAGGGCAGGGAGACAGACAAATAAAGACAGCTTTCCTTTCGCCGGAGACATTTCGAGTCCTCCACTCCCTCACAAAGACTGCCTGCCACGTCGTGGCATGTGGGAATCTTAGTTTCCCGATCAGGGATCGAACCCGTGTCCCCTACACTGGGCGAGGCTTAACCAGTGGACCGCCAGGGAAGTCCCAGTGTGTGACCCTTTTAATGTCAGGGATGATTTAGATCTCATCCGAGTGGAACCCTGCCTCTGAAAGACAAAATTCACCCCCAACGAATGGACATGCCCCCTGGGACCAGACACACCCTTTGGAAACCGTCAATCCCACAGGACACGCCCCCTAAACACCTAAAGGCCCCGCCCTTTAGCTTCCGTGTCCCAGGCAACCAAGTTTCTCCCTTAGCATCCTTCCGCTAGATTAGGAGCCTCCCATTTGAGAGTGAGCAGACTTTCCACACTGTCTTCTACACACTAGATTTTATTCCTGTACTGAGTGCCAGGCACTGTAATTCCCCCTGGGGATCCAGCAGCGAACAAAATTACTCCCTGAGAAAACAAGTGGCTGGACTGTGTCACATTAGGTGGAGTGGTCTGGTGGGGGGAGAGGGGGTGGGGGGGGTGCTTCTCTGCAGAGGCGACACCTGATCTGAGACCAGAAGGGTGAGGAAGGGCCGGCCAAGTGGACAGCTGGGCTAGCCCAGGAGGGGAGGGGCTGGTGAGAGGAGATGGAGTGGTGAGCAGGAGTCAGGGCACGCAGACCCTGGGCCGACACAGACATCTGACTGTGCTCCGTGGACGCTGACAAGCACGACTGTACGTGTGAAGGGACGCGCCTGCTGCTGCACTTTGCAAGGGTCCCTCTGGCCCGCCGCCGGGTGGAGAAGGGGGCTGAGGGCATGCAGAGCAGGCTACTGCAGTCCAGCAGGGGAGAGACGTGCGCGCTTGGAGCTGAGCGGTGGACAGAGCTGGGGGGCCAAGGTCAATCCTGGAGGTGCGATGTGGGAGGGTGTGCTGTGTGTGTGCGTGTGTTTGACGGAAGGGAGGAATCGGGGCGGAGGCTGCTTTCGTGGTGGGGCCGAAAACGGAGAGAAAGCAAAATTAGGTGAGGCTGGAGGGGTCAGGAGCGCCATCTTGAGCTTCTTAAATTTGAGATGCTTGGGAGGTGGTGGTGTTCAGTTGCTAAGTCATGTCTGACCCCACGAACTGCAGCATGCCAGGCTTCCCTGTCCCCCACCATCTCCCAGAGTTTGCTCAGACTCATGTCCATTGAGTCAGTGATGCCATTCAACCGTCTTATCCTCTTGCCCCCTTCTCCTCCTGCCCTCAATGGCATGCTTTAATAAGGCTGTGCTATTGATAGGCATGAACCCTAGAAAAACCCTGAACTCAGAACCACTGAAATACCCATTGCTATGATCTAAGCGTGTCCCCCCAAATTCATATGTTGAAATCTTAGTACCCAATGAATGTGATGGTATTTGGAGGTGGGGCCTTTCGACGATGCTTAAGTCATGGGGGCGGAGCCCCCACGACTGGGATTCATGCCTCATAAAGGGCTTCTTTGTAACTGAAAGGACTCCAGAGAGAATGTAGCCTCTTCCACCCCATGAGGACACAGCAAGAAGGCACAGCAGTGAACAAGGAAGAGGCCCCCTCAGCAGAAGGCAACCATGCTGGCACCTTGACCTTGGATTTCCAGGTTGCAGAACTGTGAGCAATAAACTTCTGTTGTTTATAAGCCACCCAGTCTGTGGTATTTTGTTATGCCAGCCTGAATGGACTAAGACATTCATCACCAATGCAGTGAATAAATAAGTGATGGTATATTTATGCAGGCTTCTCTGGTGACTCAGATGGCAAGGAAGCTGCCTGCAATGCCAGAGACCCAGGTTCAATCCCTGGGTGGGGAAGATCCCCTGGAAAAGGAAATGGCAACCCACTCCATTATTCTTGTCTGGAGAATCCTCATGGACAGAGGAGACTGGTGGACTGCATGGGTCCATGTAGTTGCAAAGGGTTGGACGTGATTTAGCGACTGAACAACAACAACAAATATTATGCTATGAAATACTATAGGGACTTCCTTGATTGTTCAGTTAAGAATCTGCCTTGCAGTGCAGGGGACACAGGTTCCATCCCCAGTGGGGGAACTAAGATCCCACATGTCTTGAGCACCTAAATCCACATGCCACAACGAAAGATCCCACAGGAGTCAATGAAAATCCCTCCTGCTGCAACAAAGACCCAACACTGCCATTTAAATCCATAAACACTATACAGGAAGAGAATGCATGAATACAGAGATACACAGTTACACAAGCGAAAGTTACAAAGAAGCCAGGCCAAAGAAACCAGATAGGTAGAGTCCCATTTCCTTCTACCACATGGAGTCAAGCAAAGCTGAACTGTAATATCGCTTAGGATGCCCTGTGGGTGTGAACCATCTAGAGGAAAACTTTTTTTTTTTTCCTGTAAAACTCACAACAGTGTGAATAGATGGGTTAAGCTCCGGGTGGGACATAGTGGAACCTTCTATGGGGCTCTGGGGCGGCTGCCAACATTCCTTTTCTTAATCTGCTGATTATTTTATAATTATTTGTTAAATTGTGTGTTTTTATCATGCCCTTTACACCGATACGTCTTATATTTCACACAGAAAAAAAAACATTTAAAGGAAGGAGATAAGTTTGAGGGCAAACAAGTGGGAGTGTATCATTCAAGAAAGACGTTTTGCCTGGAGATCCACACGTGCCCACTTGGAAAGGTGGCACATCGGCCCCTGGGAATGCTCAACCTCTCCTCTCTTCCCCCACTACTCAGCAAGGGGAAGCAGGCTCACCCATTTGGGGTAAAATAAATATATATATTTCTCCGAGTTGGAGAAACAAGACCCACCTCCTTAGGTACAGGTAACGCCCCCAGGGACACGACCCGCCCACTTGGAGACCGCTCTGCCTGCGGAGTCGAGGGCCGAGAAATGTGCCAGGGTTGTCATGGAGACGCCCGCCTGGCAGTAGGGTGATGAATAGGGACCTCCCTCCCACCTCACCTGCACTCCAATCCTTTCTCTTCCGCGACGGTAGCGAAAGGGCCTCACCCCCTTTCCCGAATGCTCCCCAGTGTCAGGGGGTGGCCTGGACCTGGTCCCCTACTCGTGACACGGAGACCCCATTTTATCGATGTGCTCAACTGAGGCTCAGAGGCTGAAGGGGTGGGTTTTACCCTGGGGGCGATCTCAGCGGTTCCGGAGCATCAACTTCTAGCCAGACGCAGGCGATTCCCACGCCTCTGTGGGCTGCGCTGACTCCCGCGCGCAGACCCACTCACCTGTGCTCCACATCTCCCCTCCTCCCCACAGCAGTCTTCCCTTCCAGGGAACCCCCATTGCAAAACCTGAAGCCGCGTCCCTCTTTGTGTGCGCCCTAAGTCTCTTCAGTCGTGTCCCACTCTTTGCGACCCCCTGGACTGTAGCCCGCCAGGTTCCTCAGTCAAAGGATTTTCCAGGCAAGAATATTGAAGTGGGTTGCTATGCCCTCCTCCAGGGGACCTTCCCCATCTTCAGGATCGACCTTGCGTCCCTGAGCGTTTCCTGCATTGGCAGGTGGGTTCTTCACCACTAGCGCCACCTGGGAAGCCCCTCGGCCCTCTTTATTCACCTACAAATATTACTCGACGTGCGACGCTCACTAGGGTAAAGCAGGTGAACAAACAGGTGAAGAAACCCCCCGCCATCGGGGCGTTTATATTCCAGTGGAAGGGGAAATAGGCAATCGGTGGGCAACCGATACACAGCCTAATATTTGTGATACGTACAATGTTGGAAATTAGGGCCAAGCAAGGACTAGATGGTGACAGGAG